TACATATTAACGGCATGAGTTAATGGAATAGAAGGTTTCTCATTCCATTGATGCAGTAAAACGGCTTTCAAGCTCAACTTGCTGCTATCGATGAATAAACGCCATTCAGCTGGATCATATGGCTCACCAAACTCTTCAAACAAGCCGTTTACGTCATGGCAAAAACATGCCTTGTCCTTTGTAGAATAATATTTGTCAAATTTCTTGTGACGATTCCTGTGACAAGAAATTTTGACCTCCTTGCTCAGCATGTTGTGTTCTTTCAAGCGTGATGCCAGCAATTCGGATGTCTCCTTGGATAAGTCGAGATCTCGCACCAAATCATTAAATTCGGATTGTGTAAACAGTTTTGGGTTTCTTTCCAATTCCACCTCGAAGTCTTCCTCGCATTCCTCCTTGAATTCCTCCTCACTTTTTGTAACGGTCGATTCAACAGAGGGCGCTCGTTTCCGCTTTGGATAAACAGGATACGGGACCGAACTTGAATGTGGAACAGGTTTTGTCATAGAAGCCACTTGTGGATACTCAACTGTTTTGTGACGTCCTTGTTGCTTAACTTTTGTCAAGCAGAAATAACAATCCGTTGCATGACAAAACGGTCGACGCCATATGGTGGGCATGTCAAAGGACAAATAGCGACTGACAGATAACAAATAAGTGAGTTAGTAAGTAAGACATTAACACTTATCAAAAATAGATGAAGTAAGATAATGTCGATCAGGAAAGAACAAAGCACTACCATGCTGTACATAAATTGTTTATATGAAAGTTATTCAAAAAATCAATTTACCTTGCGCCTGACATCCACCTAACCAAGCACGTTTTGCACGAACTACATAATACTTTTGGAATCCACGGTTCGTCAAAGTCTCCAGGATCAATTTTAAAATAAAGCCTGTAGGCAGTTTGCAACGAAGCAGTGAAATTGACCGATTTTGTAAATATATAGTTGCCACACGCGTAACAAAACTTTTGAGGATCATTTTTACACTTGAATTCACGTTTTGTCGTATACATCGTTAAGCAATGTTAAAGAAAGAAAGCTGTCAAATTGAGTTGGTTGCGTTAGGTTCTCGCCGAGCGGTCTACAAACACTAGCGTAAATTATATTGTTGAAAATATCCCATTTAATTTTGCGTGACAGCTGGTAGTGTTAGTGAAATGCACCGTATGCGTACACGTCCGCAGAAAGGCTTACTGGAAGTGGTGCATGAACCTAGGAGCGGGACAACGGCCAATCTTGGAACATTCAATTTCCATGATTTTACAAAAAATTTCATAACTTCGACAATTTCCAACCGATTTCATCCATTAAAGGCTCATTTTCTCCAGTTTTTAATGGACTTTAAGAATAAAGTATGGAATGATTTTTTGAATCTTTTTATCCCATTAAAAATGTTGATTAAAACAAGATTTTTATGGAAAATTCGTAGGAAAAATAAAAAAAAATGCTGTAAATTTTTAAATGACTTCAAAATTAAATTTTTAATAAAGACATAATATTCTAGTGAACGATAGAAAATTTATTTAGCTTCACTTTCATAAAAAAAGATTTAAAATTGGTGCACTAGTTTCAAAGATATTGACATTTTAGTAATCATACTTTTGTCCAAAATTCAAAACATCAAAATTTTTGTATATCTCAAAAATGGCTCTACTTTAATTTTTTCTGACCACGGCATTAAATTCAGCGTAGGATTTTGCATTAGAAACGTTGGTCAACCACTAAAGTTCACACTTTTTATGTTGTTTTGTAAACTAGTGTAATGTTTTTTTTTTACTATCGATATCATTTTCCAACATTTGTACAATCGGGCTGGAACCGTGCCTCACAAAAAAAAAAAAAAAAAATTCGTTGAAAAAGTAAATTGAGCTAGAAAATTTAAATCCTCCAATAAAGAATAGTCGTTGCAAAAATCGTCACCTAGATACTGAAAACTTTGGGCTTAGAGGATAATATCATTCATTTATTAGATCATTCTTTGTTGTGTCGAAATTTACATGTTTTATATTCAACAACGTTGATTAACTTCCACAGTTTCAATATGGCAGCGATAATTTCATGCTGAAAAACAGTTCTCATGACATTGCCATAATAATCATTATCCCTTATAGGAAAATATAGTTTTATTGTTGCTTTATTACAGAGCAATATTTGACAGTTCGCAAAAAGAAACGAATTATTTTAATGATGTTATTCGTGCTGAATAACTTTCGATAGGTTGGGGTTGCACAATTATACTGAGAACTCTTCCAAAATTATACAAAACTTGCTGAAGTTCTACAGCATTCTCTGGCGTTCTATGAAGTTCACTCAGCTTCTACAATGTTTGCTGAGCCTTTACAAAGATAGCTGAATTTCAATAAAATTTGTTGCACTTTTAAAAAGTTTTCCTGACCTTCAACACAGTTCAATGAATGTCTACGACGATATCCGAAGTTCTAGCGGCGCCGGTGGTGTAGTGGTGAGCGTGATTACCTCTCACCCCAGCAGGCCTGGTTTCAATCCCAGTCGGCGCTGCCGGGATGTTCTGAGGCATAACATCTCTGATCACGCCTTCCTTCGGAAGGAAAGTAAAGTCGTTGGTCCCCGGTTCATGAGTTGATGGGTCGATAGGTAGGGTCCAGGTGTGGGAGCTGCCTTCCTGGCGACGGTAGCATTGGTGCTCAGCACGGAAAACAAGATCGACGGAAAACAAACCAAGGAAAAAAACCCGAAGTTCTACGATGTTTCTTGAAGATCTATGAAGTTCCTTGAAATTCTACAACGTACGAAGTTCTTCTGGGTAGTCACATACACACTTTCCCTCGACCGAAAATTTTAAATGTAGCAGTGACGACATGTGAAGACATGTTGCCTAGCACCCCTAACAGAGCAAACAGGTATAACAGAGAGAATTTTCTGTGGTATCTCTTTCTCTACGCTCATGGAATGTGATGAGGGCATAGTAAAAGTGAGGAGGAGGGGCGCAAAACTGAGAGTACACAACCTTAACAAAAATCCTGAGTATGGCTCTGTCTACACCACACCACAAGAAGTTTAGATGTTGCTAGTAATGAACTAGGCATTTAGAAAGGCTTCTTTGAACATGAAAAGATCTCGAAGTTTGTGAAAAGCTTCGTATTTTATTATCGAATGAATCTTGAGTCAGTTCGAATACAACTAGTCAAGTTGTGTGATTTTACGCAATAAAGAGGTGTAACCATTTACGATTTTTTAAAGAGCAGTGGAGAAAATCGAATTTGGATATCAAATCTGTAATAATCACTACTTAAATTCAAGCAAGAAGGAATGCACTTGCAGTCTTATGGGATTTTGATTTGTAACAAACCCCAATGCAATCCAGTGTGTACGATCTCATGCGATGTGTGGTTATCTGGGTACATACACAGCAAAAAAATTAATTTTGATATCACATCGTATGGATGCACTTCAATCGTGTCAAAAATATGGTGTAATATTACTTTGCAAAAAGGACAAAGTTATAATTAATACAGTGCATCAACTGACATTACGCTGCTTTTATTGCATTAGTTTATTGTTGTGGCCATAAAAATTACATGAGATTTTTGACATGATTGAAGTGCATCCTCTGGGATGTAATATTAAAATTTATTTTTGCTGTGTATAATTATCTTGATCTTTACTTAATTTTAAATACTAATAGTATTTTATACATTCTTCAAAGTGAGCTTTAAATGATGAATATTTCCGTAGAAAGAAAATTTTCCAACTATACAACTGTATGTTGTTGTTTTTTTTTCTTCGATTTGTTTTCCGTCGACCTTTACTTCCCTTCCGAAGGAAGGCGTAATCAGAGATTTTATGCCTCAGAAAATCCCGGCGGCTCCGACTGGGATGGAACCCAGGCCTGCTGGGGTGAGAGGCAATCACGTTTACTACTACACCACCGGCGCCGCTTAACTGGATGTTGTGTATTGTTTGTTTTTATTAATTTTTAGAGGTCAGCCTCTGTTTGAAAACGTTGCCATTTATAAAATGTAGAAATTTTATATTGTAATCTATGTCTCCGCAGAGAAATGAAGCACAACAGGCCCAAAGGTTCATTATCATTGTATTGCAAAATGATTAAATCTCCTTCATGAGTAGCTGATTGTCACATTTTTTATTCTGTGAATTTTGAACTTTTTTATTTGAATTATCCAGGGTTGTTTCCATTCATTTTGCATCATTTCGCATGTTTTATAGGATTATGGAATCGTAAGATATTATGATGATATTTTGTATTTGTAAGTAACAAAAAGAAGTGACAAAGTTTGCGTTTGACACATAAAACCCGCCAATTTCGCTTTATGAGAGTCGCAATAAGCAATCATTTTATCTCACCGATTCTTCATTCTTCACTATTCGCGAATAGTGATCAGAAAATCGCTGATTGTGACTCTTTCAAAGCAAAATTAGCAGGTTTGATGTGTACAACACATTCCTTGCAACCTCATCTTGTAAGTTACAAATACAAAATATAATTCTAACATCTTATGATTCTATAATATCATAAAACATTGTTTTATGCAAAATGAATGGAAGTAACCCTGCACCTACGTATGATATATGAATCCCCTTAGAATGAACATTTAAAAATGCAGTGCAAAGCGTAAAATGTGACATTGACAACATTGAACGCCCAGCTCTCCATTAGGATTATTTATGTACACGCGTAATTGTCATCTGTCGTTGGAATCTATTACCGACTGCTCTGACACAGCCGACTTATCATCCATGCGAACGGGAAGCGAGTGCTGTTGTAAATACTCCCTCCATTTGAATCAGAACTGAATGTGGCTATAAATTAAAGCATGTTGCCATATATGCGAACCTAGAGAGTATGATCACAGAACTGGAACTGTTTGCACTGCACTAGAGCAAAACTTTTGATGAAAAATGGGAATCATGCCTATGGCGTTTGCTTTTCGTAGCAGTAGTTTTCATATGTGCAAGCAATTAACAGCACCTTTCTGCATTTCTTTCTCACCCGCAGGACCCGTCGCCGTTCCGGCTCCAGCATTGTCGTGTTGGATGGTGATGATACACTAAAACCTAGCCTGCCTATTGATGACTATCAGGAGGACTTTGAGATGTACAATATGATTTCAGCTAATCAAGATAATGGTAAGATAATTAAAATTCGATAAAGGATTTCCTTTACATTTTAATGTGACCACGTTAATCTTCCATTTTAGGACCACATCGGGAGATGGCAGTTGATGTACCTGAATCATTCATAGCTCGTAACAAAACACCACCACGATATCCACCACCACGCAGCACAACACAGGTAAATCATGTTTCCAATGCAATGCCACAAGTACCGAAACATGTAAACGGAGGAGTCTCCTTGGAGCTGGAACCTCTTGACGGCTATAGCGATAAAAATTCATCCTCGCTCGACAGTAGCAATGAATTCTATAAGAAAAACTCTAGCAAAGGGCCCTCGTCGCTCGGATCAGCGTGTGAGTCGATCGGGTTCGACTCGATCAATTATTTGAAAAATTCAAGAGGTTCACTCAGTACAAGGAGCTCCTCGTCGGGTGAACTGGGCCCACCCGAGTATGATATCGGGCCCCATCGCGAGCTTCCAGTAGACGTTCCGGATAGTTTTGTTGAAGTAATTAAGGCACCACCCCGCTATCCACCGCCTAAAGCATTGATCATAAAAGAGGTTGTCAAAAAGAAAGAATCATCCTCATCCGACGAATCTATCGATAATCCAAAACCGCAACCACAAGCACCAACGCGAAATGAGGTATTTTTTCCATCATCCATGCATCATTATTTTCTTCTTTTTCATGTTTCCTTAGTTTCATTATTATTATTATTTATGTTGTGTATTGTTTCCTTTAATGTTATTATTGTCATTTCCCACTGTCATGCTATCATCAAGTAACAACATACATTCTATGAGATTCTATACTATACCTACACATTTTTCTCAACCGCAACATATTTCTGTCAACTCTCTACACACCCCGGTGAAGTGAGAAAAGATCATTATTATTCCTCGGTCATTTCTGCTAGCATCAGTTTTGTATACGTTTCACACACGACATTCTTCAGTTATTCTAAATTAGGGTGGTTCGCAAATGCGCCACACCTTAAAAACGGCTTGTCGGAACCCACAATTTAGAACTACTCAACACCCATGCCACGACAGACACACCTTTACAAGAATCACTGCAGAATTGTATGCATATTAGCATTCCATTATCATATCATTTTATAATTTGTTTTCATTTTATTACCCGTCATACTTGTGATTTAAGTAAATCACGACCCATTCAGCTTCATTGATCAACGAGACAAAACAAAATGCGAACGCCTCTGCACGGTTGACATCTTTCTTTTTGCAGCTAGACAAAATTGAGCGTGTAATATGATCACTTATCTTGAAGTCTGTGCCTTCTTCTTCTTCTTCTTCTTCTTCTTCTGGGTTTATTACATCCCTACAGGGACTGTACGTCGGCTATCAACATAATGTTTTTTTAGAACTTCCACAGTTGTTAGCTTTCTAAGCCTACACAATTATTGCATTATCGTGTGGCAAGTGGCAATTCCAATCCTACTCTATGCCCAGGGAAGTCGAGAAATTGTCCATCCCGAAAAATTCCTAGACCGGACTGGGAATCGAACCCAGCTGCCTCCAGTATGCTCTTGCTTTATAGCTACGCCTGTATACCGTACCGACACTGAGCTAAGGGAGTGCAATAGCAAGTATTTATTGAATATGTTTTGGTATTAAATGTATCGTATCTTATGGATATCGTACCAGCAAATTTTTTTTAATTTTTGTCTAAACTTTTTCCTTCTATCTGTCAGTTACGAAAAACGCTTAAAACACGTTACAACTTCCTAGTTTGAACATGACATAAAACGAAACTTAAGAGAAGAGTAGACAATATGGGGGGGAACCACTTTTCTGTCAAACGCGAACCAGCTCGTGATTGGCCGATTTGAAGTGCGTAAGATAGAGATAGAGATTAAAAAGTAAGAAGCCAGTTGTCTCCACTTAGTTCAAAACTAGCCAATTCACTCCTCTCTTATACTAGACCCTCTCTAATTTAAAGTAATGAAAGCAGTAACGATAACATTGTGACTATCTGATCAGTAGGCTGCGTTGTGCGTACTCCTTGAATCACAGTTAGCTGGAAGTCTAAGAAAATTGAATGGTAAATAGAATAGTATGAGAAAAGAACGACCAGCTTTTTAAAGAAGGAAAATCAATTTTATGGCATATTTTATTCATAGTGCCAAAAATAACTATAACAGTATTACTTGAAAGAACTGCTCATGCTTAAAAGAAGAAAGAACTAATAAAATTCCATTGAATTATTACCAACCTTAAAATTCCAAACTACAGGAGATATAATCATATTTATCTATTCCAAGAAAACTTCAAATCACAGTCCAACACGCTTGAATAATTCGTCTTCAAAACTTTCTCCAATTCCAAATTGTGTGGACAAAATATTTAAGTGCCTAAAATCTTGAAAAATCACTACACCTGAAAGCTCTGCAGATATTCCGAGAATTCTAAAAAAAGTTGTCAAAGTATGCGTAATAAAAATGGAAAACATGTGTGAATACGATGGATGCTGAAAAACTGGTACAGGCGTAGAAAGCACTCAATTCACAAACAGTGGAAGTTCTCAAAGAACTTTAAGATGAGGACAGAAACAAAATTCATGGTGGAACGTTTGGCTATTACGATAAAGAAGATATGATAACAGAATTATTTGTTGATATAAAATACGTTTTGATACACATTTAACGAAAAGATCCTCCAGCTTGAGCGAAAATCGAACGGTCACTCCGTGGCGCACACACACACACGCACGATACACCTGAGTTACGGGGGTGACGCAGCTAACCGCGTGGCAACAAAACCCAGTAAATGATGCTACATTTGATATTTTTAAATTTTTTAATTCTTTTTTGCAAAAAAACGATTTTTTGTACCACCATGTTAGCATGGAAATGGTCACCCCTATGACAGAAAATGGGTCTAATATTTTGCAATAAGGTACAAAACCACCAATCTCTACGAAATTCAGAGAACCACTAAAGGAATGTTGGGCTCTAATGTTGGCCTATGGATCTAAGATTGGGCCCACCACTAAAAATCTGCTATTTATCAATTTTATCTAGATGAACACGGTATTAATAGATATTTTTGGTCGCTATTGAAAATTTAGTCGATTGCTGAATTTATGTATGGGCCCAAATTAGGGGCATTTAGGCCGACATTACATCCATTTTCCCTATTTCATTGTTTAATAAATATAACGTCTACTTTGTGCGATGATACAATATTGAGCATAGTAGGCAATGAAAATCAACTTATAAAAGTGTTCGGATTTGTGGACAAAGTGTCTGTATTTTGAGCAATTACGGTGCAGCACATTATAGCAACTTCTAATATTTTTTTCTCTCTAAAAAAAGTTCCAAGACCTGGATGGAAATTTCTGGAATCTTGGCTGTTGGTTCATTTTATATAGTATAGGTTTTTTTCGGTACAGTTTTTGGCTTCATTGACTGTATGTAGTTTGTTACTTCTTGAAGAACAGTAATCTAAATAATTTGCCTATTTGAAGTCTAAATATAGGTCTTTAACATTCTTCAAATGTTGCTAGAATTCATTCACCACGAAAAAAGTTAAACAATTAGATCTACTAAAATCGATGAGTAATGTATAACATCATTTTGTAATCCAAGATGCGATTTCCGCTATGCTTCAGCTTCAAATACTCGGCAATATAATTATTTTTGAAACCGTTGATGATTATTTTGGCCGTAGTAACCAGCTCAAAGTATGTACCCTGTAAATTTGTGTAGATGGAGAGATAAATAAAAGTGTTTTAACTTTTTTCGCACTACCGGGATGTCGTACTACCGGAAAGTCATTCCAAATATCTAAAATTTGACTAAAAGTGAGCAAAATTTTAGTCTATTTGGTTAATATATATTGCAGTTTGCAATATTTCAGTTTTGAAAAGTGTACTAAAAGAGCAGCGTTTTATGAATATTGTTATTTTTTTTTAATTAGTTGCTTTTTTGTCCTTATTTAGGAGACGCAAACATAGCCACTCAAGCCCAAAACCATACCGAAAAGCCTGAATAGTTGATGATACCAGAAACAAGAGTTAAAATTTTTTGAAGATCATCCAGAAAAGTTACAGCTCTCCAAAAATTTCTGGACAAAAGAAAAAAAGTCATTTGATGATATATATATGATACATATGAGATTATTTTCTGAGTTACAGAATTGTTCGAATGGAATGCTGGTAGGGTAAACATTCCTATAGTTGTGGTACGTTAGAAGCGTTAGGTTCCTGTAGTCGTATATAGAGTCTACATACACAACTATAGGAACCTAACGCTTCTAACGTACACATAGGGTAAGTCAAATGGGCAAATTTTTAGAAAGATTGACCCGTCGACACTACAAAATTTAAAAAAATTGAGATATTTTACACGATTTTGCAACGGATGAATTCCAAGCAAATATTCATGATAATTTTAAAGAATTTATTAAGATTATGCTTTTAAAATTCGGAACATAATTCTTAAGAAGTTCTTGGGATAGATTCATCGAAATTCGAAATGCTAAGGGAAATGTAAAGACAATTTCAGTCGAACTTTATGATGAAGGATAGTAGGAGAGATTCAGCTGCAATTCCAAGGTTATTTAGAGGAGAGTTATAATGAAATTTTAATGGTTTTTTTTGTATGGTAATGAGATGGGATTTCGAGGAGAATTCCTTGGTAAATTTGAAACGTAATTCAAAGGATTTCAAAGATTTCTTATAAGAATTCCAAAGAAAAAGGATTCTAAAAAATATGGTACGTCATTTATGGATGGTCCCTTACCTTACCAGTCAAGATGCATACAGATGCATCAATTTCACTCAATCCATGGCTACACGTTACCAGCCTCGCAGTCTGGTTATCACAAACTTGGATGCAAAGTGACCTGCAGTTCCATGTTGCAAGTATCCAATCATAGTCCTTTTGTCTCCGCCTACTATTTTCCTAACGTACAACGAATATACGTTGAATCCGTGGGATCGCATACCTCGTCTAATTTAACAAAGTATGATGAATGAAAAGTTAGACGAGTTATACGATCCCGCAAAAAGGTTATCTTCCATTTAATTCCACTTAATTAGTGTTGGTATTCATGACAGATACGTATTTCGACTTCAATGTGCAGTCTTCATCAGTGTCATTCCCTCTAACGGGGGTCTATGCATTCGATCCATAAACATGGGGATCAGACGCTGTTTTGAGCAGTCCCTAAAGTGGAAAAAAAAGACGGTCGGATGGGCTGCACTCTCTGGAGAGCTGGAGAGCTACCCTGCAGTACTCATGGGACCGGACACACAAAACTACAATTGTCAATGGAACATTTTACCATATTTGACTTGTGGTCCACTGAGAACACACTCAGAAATGACGAGAAAAAAAAAGTAGAAAATCTAACACCTACAAGATTATGCAAATAAAAAGACTGCTATTCGATAACCGTTGAAAACGTTAGCGTTAACTTTTGCAATGGTGGATTTGCATTGTAGACGCTACACCGTTTGAAAAATTCATCTAAATTTCTGCGAGATATAGCGCACATACAATTTATCCGATATCTCGTGTAAATTTTAGTGCAATATCGCATAAATTAGCAATATTGTATGCGAGTTTGTAAACGATTTCGCTGTTTATGTCAAGCATACCTCAAAATTAAACGAAGGGAGATTTTACGCGATAGTTAAAATTCAGATTTTTTTTGTGCATCAACAATTATCAATTAACAACACTGAAAAAAAAACATTTAAATTTAGAATGCTAGTAAAAATAGCATTACATAAGCCTATATATTCTTAAAACTGTCACACTCGCTATCGCTACACCCAACCAGCGAGCTACAAGAGTTGGCTGTGGAGACCGAAAAATGTGGAGGTTAGGATGGGTAAAAATAACTTCATCATTGGAAGGAATAAACATGACAACGAAGTTGAATTTGTATATTATACGAATAAGACGTAATAATAGCATTGATTAGATTAATGAATTTAGATAATTAGATTGCTTAGATGACAGGAGAAACGAATGTTTCTTATCATTTATGAAAGATGTGTTTTATATACGATATTGATTTTTACGAAATGGTTTTCATAGAAATAACAAAAATATATTTTCAGTGTAGTAATCTACAAGTAAAACAAAAATAAGAGAATGAAAAGTGGCTTATGGTAACCTTTGTGCGAGTTATTTCAGTTAAAATCAAGTTGCTGCATTTTCTCGTGTTTTTTTTTTTTTTTTTGTGTACGTAGGAGATATCTGAGCTGATAGCGAAGCCTTTCTGAAATCATGGACTTCTATGAGGCTCACTTAACTTTTCTTATGTTTACACAGCTTTTCTGAGATTCCCTAAAATTTTCATGAAGTTCTTTTACGTTTATCTGAACTTATCTAGAGATCCATTGAGACAATTATGCTTAAAAGGGCAGTAAATTACTTTAAGGTTCCCTAGATTACAATATAGTTCATTGCGCTACTCTTAATTTCGCAGATTGTTAAATACACTGATCTTTGTTAAAATATGCGACATTCGGCAAAGATATTGTGCTGTTTCATTTTTCATTCAGAATACAATCTTCTGATATGACGAGTCGGAGTCGGAGTCGATATAATTTCTCCGACTCCAACTCTGACTCCTCAGGTTACAACATTCCTTCCGGCTCCCATTACACATACCTGTTTTCCAAGTCACAGAATCTTGAAAACTATTCATAGATCTAGAACTCGAAAACAATTGCCTCATTTACATGAACTTGGTCAAATTCCGTGATCATAGTTTTTTACAAGCCTCAGAGTATTCTTTTTTTCTTTTTCTTTTCAACAGCGGGATTATGCAATTCTAAATTTTAAAATTATGTTAATCTTAGTATGAGATATTACAGAGCTACTGAAGTTTGAACATTCAATTTATTTTCTCTTGCCCCCACAGTAGCTTAAAATTTGCAGATTTATATGATATTGCGCAAAAAATTACATTAATTATCATGTAAAGTTAAGCCAAATCCAGCGTAACCTATGTGTGCGAATGAAATTATCATTAACTATTTAAACTTATGTGTTTCAAAATGAGGTCCGCGCTGGTCCGGTCTTGGATTTTTTTGGGTTGAAAAATGTTTTGACTTTCCCGGATATGGTTATCTTTACTATAGATTTTTTCAGCCGTACACAGCAAAAAAATAATTTTGATATCACGCAAAGTGGATGCACTACAATCATGTTGAAAATATGGTGTAATATTACTTGCTAAAAAGGACAAAATTATCATTAATACAATGCATGAACTGACATTACGCTGCTTTTACTGCATTTGTTTATTTATGTGGTCATAAAAATTACATGAAATTTTCAACATGATTGTAGTGCATCCACTTTGATGTGATATCAAAATTATTTTTTTGCTGTGTAGGCTGGTTCATCTCTTCGAAGACATAGAGCATGATTGTACCTGCCACTTCATTATTCTAATCATGATGTAGACTACCAGTAAACACATCAGGAAATTCATTTTTGGACCTGGAAAATCAGGTAGTCTCAGGGAATTTCATTCAAAATCAGGGAAATATTGACAGAAACGTATTAATATGTTTGATTGACTTCACTAGTTTCAAACAAGTTATTTACTGGATTCAGTTTGAGGACGGTTGTCATTTCAAATTTTAAATAGAGTTTCAAACTTGTGGTTGCTCAATGCTTGATGATGGCAATTCGTGCAAAAATTACTCAAATAAAGAGGTATTTCGATGATTTTGGGCCTAATATAAATTCAGCTCCCACTGGGTGTTGGCACATTCATGAGTTGTACTGGGATCCTGAGGGTTGATTAAAATACATGTTCATAGACGCTAGACGTTGTTAGTTGTTGCAAAATTTAACCTTTAAATGGGTAATAGATATTACAACCTAATAGCGTCTGAAAAAAATTAACCTTTGAGTAGATTGGAGCGTCAGCTCTATCAAGCTGTGTCCAACAAAAATCAACCCTTTGAGCGCATAGCAGCGCATAGCAGCACATTCGAGTAAATGCAAGAATGGTTAATAGTTAAGAGCAGAGGATGATTTTTTCTGAATACATGTAGTTCTTGTTCCTTATTGTGTTCTTAATAACCTAATTACTTCAGATAATCAACTAAATGAAAGTTGGATGTAGTAGTACTTTTATGACATACATACACAAGCATTGCCTTAAAAGCATAGAGTGGATTTGATGAGTATTCTAGGTCTTCATTTTAAACATGGTTAGCTCGGAAAATTAGGTTCTCAGTAAATTTGTACTATTGTGATTGTCCTATTGCAATTGATATGGAATTGTCTTACAGAATTTTAGAAACGAAAGTGCTATTTTTATAATTCTCCATCGGAGGAATCCGTCCACAAATTAGTGTTTCTTGCGGAGCTGAATCTCAAAATATGTTTAAGGGATAAATGTATAATGGGATTAGGATGTCCCTAGAGTTGAGTTCGAAAACAATCAGAAAAGAACTGGTAATGGTAAGAACATGGTTATGCCAAGGACCTCTTCTCGTATCATGGAGTAAATCGAGGTATGAAACGGATAATAAACTTGCTGAAAACTTTAAGCGATTAAGTAAGCCTTTTATGTATATTTATATCGAGATGGTTACGGTTACCAGTGCTGAGATTTGTCATTGTCATTGACAGACTTTTGCGCGATATTGACAAAATTGTTTTTCACATAGTCAATGATAGACTTGATCCTCAAAAAAATCTTTGTCAAAATCTCATTCATTTTTTCGTCAATGACAAAGATTCACCTGGTAACAGAAAGTGAAATTTCTTGCATTCTGAGACACATTATTGTTATCCAAGCGGTTCAGGACGTAGATGCTTATTCACTTTAATGGCTCCATGTAATTGTTTTGCTCAAGCCATTTAATTTCATTTCAAATTTAGCTAATAAACAAATCAGCACATGTTCGTCACTGACAAAAATGCTACTGACAATTGACATGGTTTGCCTTGACGATGACTGTTAGCTCAAACGAGTGACCAAAGCAGAATTTTGAGTATCACCGTGTATTGTCGAAATTTTGCAGCACTGACGGTTACTGCTTGAACTGATCACCTGGTGCTTATCAAGCTTAAAATATGAGAATTTAGAAAAAAAAATGGTGCCTTCCCGTATTTGGAAACACGTGATTTCTGTCTTTTTTGCATTACAAAAATGTATTGAATCCTATATTCAATTTGAGATTGTACTGGACCATTCTTCAATAGGTTCAATGATCAATCTATTTTTACATCTAAATATTAGACTTGTAATTAATCACTTAGTCGAGCAGTTTTAAGATGATCTTCTACCAGAGATTTTAAGAATTTTTCAGTTTTGGCATAATTCTTCTCGAAGCTCAGTAAGTTTTTTTTTATTATTGAGCTCGAGTGCGAATAGTGTGAGTTTTTTTTTAATTCTTAAGCTCGAGTACTATACCATTTATATTAAAATGCACGAATGATGTGATGGTAAAAAAAATACAATTGTCCACATGTCTTAAAACCTGCCGAAGTGGAAATGTGCTTTTACTCAGTCAAGACCCCAGCTATATCCGCCAATGCAAATGACAGTCTAAAAATGATGATACCTATTAATGATGTGTGAAACAAATTTCTTTCTAGTATGCACAATGTAGGATAATCTCCACTCACTCCACTCAATCTATTTTCCTAAAGTAGGTTTAGAGCACCAATCAACATTATCCTGCAGACGTAGATTTAGATGGATAATCCTTTTAGTCACCAATTCTTACATCCGTAGCTTTAACAGCAACTGAAAATACACGTGTTGAACCGTACCTGTAGAACAATCCTATTCACCATTGAAAGTGCATCTCGCAATTCGCTCTTCTTTTCTATTCGTTTACTTACAGTTGAATGGTTCAGTGAAACCAATACCACCGCCACGAGATCATCTGCGAATAGAGAAAGATGGTCGCCTAACGAATCGCGCCCCGGTGCCGGCGCCACAAGTGCCAGACCGCAAGGTGGTGCCAACGACTCCCCAGCAACACATTGGCCAAGTTGTGGAACCGACACCCGATCAACTGAATAGCATCAAGAAATTCGAGGTAGGTTTTTTTTTTAGTTTTTGAGCTTTTCTCAAACAGTGTACGAACAATTCCAACCCGTATGACATGTAGAGTGAATTGGAAGAAAATACGCAAGGGTCCATTTCTTGGAAGGATCATTCAGAAAACTGAAATGATAAATCAATGTCAGTGAAGAGGTCATCGTCGAATAGAAGAGATTAATATTATTTTCTAAAATTGTTGAAGGCAAACTTTACAATCATTAACAAAAAAAAATATTCCACAAAATTTGGAACCATTTGTAATTCATGTTTCAATTGGAAATTTGAATTCTCACATGGCACCACTTCGAAAAAGAACGAAAAAAAAAATAATGGTTGATGGCCAAATTGCAATTTTTTTTAAACAATTTTTGAAGTACATTACTTGTATGCGTCCGTTATCAAACTTATCAAATATCACGGACATCGGTACAATATTACTAATTGTTCAGTGAAAGCTTAATGATAAAAGCTATGTTTGCTGCCAATCAGTTTTGTTGAGTTTTTTGATTGTCAAGAAAATTACATGGTATAAATTTTTATTGCTTTGTTTATTTCTCTCTATTTCATGCATCAGAAAAATGTATTTCTTGTACCTATATGAGAACAATATTGGATCTTATGGGAACATTTTTTTATTTAGAAAATTACCAAGTTTTAATGCTTGAAAACCTGCGAGTAACCACAGTAGTCGACACATTTCCTGTTATAATTAGCAGCTTTTGTTCTTAAAATTCGTAACACAGGCAGTCAAAATACAGTACCTACCGAACTAAAGTGTCTATTTCAAATGTATATTTCTCTATTTTGTTAGATCATCAGTTTCCATAGCAATTGAAAATAAACAATCTCGATGGTCAAGAGAGATAAGTCAAAATAATTGTATAACAAAAATGCTACGGTCGACACCGTTTGTTATCTGCACTGATGTATAATTTATCACTATGGATGAAACGAACAAAAGAATTCATTGCACAGCTCACTTCTTTGGGAATAGCACCTCCAAAAATGTAATTGTATTCCACAAACATTTCACGACTGCCAAGATCTAATTCAATGATCGCCGTGTCCAGTGAGTTGTTTGGTTACTCATTTTTTTTTCGGTGACATAATTAAAGTGCTACTACAATGAACTAGTTTCAGAGAAGTCAGTCTAACATTATCTTCAGCATTGATGCAACAGTGCACCGACGAAGCCTACTGTTCCATCTCTACCAGCTCATTTGCATAAATAGGCCACCCATCACTGGGACGCTTAATGATACTCAAGGGCTCTTCCTGTTCATATGGTTGCCTTTCTCTCGCCGTTTTTATTTTTGTTAGTGTAAATGTTTCACGCTTTCGTTTGTTATTCTTTCCCACTTGAACTTAACTGGAGGGAGAAGGAATGTAAAAGGTGTAAAATAAAAATACAATTAAACCGTCTGCCAGGGCAGGAACACTGTCTGTTGGAGATGGTGCTGGTGCTCATTTGTTTTTTGCTCGACCAATTCACCGAGGCCTAAGGTTGGAACAAAAGTGAGTTTAGTGCAGTTAATGTGACGTAGCTGTTAATATTTTTTTAATCGCTTTAACATTCTTGGGTTATTTTTGACTTATCCGGGGGTGAGATTTGAACTCGTAACTTTAGCGTGAGAGGCATGGATGCCAACCACTACGCCGGGGTCGCCCCGTTATTAAATTACGTATTTTATGTTACTTATTTACACTTTTGAAAAGCATTTTTGAAATTATTTAAAGTCAAGCCAAAGCCTAAATGTCACGAGTTCAAATCTCATCTCCGAACTATTCACAAATGGCCCAAAAGTGTTAAAGAGACTCTAATAAAAAAAATATCATGTTCTCAGCCTTAGACATATTTTCAATACTTTGGGACGATTCCGGATATACCAATTGCTATAAATTTGATGAGAAAGGGAAATAATTTATTAATTGTTAAATCTTCGATAAACAATGTACATACTACTCACCCCAAGGTACTAAATTCTATTTAAAGCGTGCTTTTGGTAATCACTAAATCTGATTATTTATTGAAATCATTGAAAGCTTGCAATCAAGCGTCAAAAAAATTTTTGAAACCATAATCTGTCCGGTGGGTAGGTACAGCGACAAGTTGTGAGCAGCTGCAAGGGTGAAACGTAAAAAGGGAACATCCTGTAGAAGTTGAGGATAATCTATGTTACAGACTTGTTACGACAAAGCGGATTTCACGATTTTTGCGAATTTCGCCGTTTTCGCGAATTTGTTATCAGACTTCTTATGGCGCGGATTTTGTCCGGATCATATCATATCATTATCATAATTTTCAGGCGCAAATTTGGCACGGATTTGCATATCAGATTCGTTCTGATGCGAATTTGATGCTTTTTTAATTTAAAGTTCATGTTGATTTGGTGAGATTTTGATTAAAAGTTCGCGCGTATTTAACGAGGATTTTATTTCAAATCTCTCGTAACAACCCTGATGTTGCCATGCGTAAGTCGAAAATAACTAGTTGCTGATTATTTGTGCACCTGGCAGGCAAGGTGAATCATGTTGATACTCATGCCGTTCATCAATAGTTCATTGATATCGTTTTGTTGAGCGAGGCAGTCAAGTTTGGTCGTGACTGTTCAGGTCGTTAGCTTGCATGCAGAAATACGAGGGCACATATCGTTAAAGAAAAAACAAAGATCATGCGGCAAAGCACACGTCCTTGCGGTGCTCCTGAAGTAGTTATGAAGGCTGTCAAACGTGTGGAATTGATCAAATTGAAGGACTGGGGGTCGATCAGGTAAGAAAGAATCCACTCAACTAACCAAATTTGGAATCGAATGACTGCATACACGTGAGGCACAATATTGAATACATTTGACACACACTTGCCATCTGTGCCCGGAATACGATTGGTCGACTGCTGCGACTTAATGATCTTCCAAAATGGTTATGGGATTTACTCCAGATTCCCTTGCGTTCGGTGAACGTATTCCTCGTTGCAAAACTTTAAAAGTTCGTTGTATCTCGTTTCAGTTAATAGGAGACTGTGTATATTTGGGTGCTTCAAAAGTGAAGATTTTGCTCCACCCCACTCAATCAATTTTAAATCACGGCCTGATCATTCTCTCAAAATTTTAGCTCATTTGGTTTTGATCTCATACTTCACTGGCCCTTGAAGTTTATATGGGAATGACTATGGGAAAAGTTAACTTTGTGTTCTTATAATCCTAGCCTATTTCCATAATAATTTACGGGTATGAGCTACAACTTTTTTCAAGAACACTGATTGAACTTCATGATCTTTAGTTAATAATTGATTTCGAAATTGATAACTTTCTGATATGATCAATCGACTGCTTTCATCTTGCAGTATTATATAGTAGCCAGGGTTTTTATCAATGTTGCTAGCTGAGCAGATGATGGAGCCTGCCAGAAGAATATTGTGCTTCTAGAGAACTAGTTCCGTTTTACGGATTAATTCAAAGAAGAAGAATTTCCACCGCAGGTGTCATATTGACCTTTCTGGCGTTTATAACACGCACCCTTGCGTAATACCATTTTCAAGTGCGAAGTTTGTTATCCTCACTTTCGCTTCAGCCAAAAAAATTGATTTGTTATTGTTATCCTCACGTAACTTTAAGCATTTGAGAAATAACTGTAGATACACACAACATTTGAATTCATACCAATGAGTTTTATCATTGAAAGTCCGAAAAGAGCAGCAATTATTTATCTTTTCGATTTTGTGACGCAAAAATGAGAACAGCTTTTTGCGTGAAAAAAATCTGCTGTGTTTTACGTACCTCTAGGAACCTCAATTGTTTTCTATTGTGGACCGTACACGATTGCTTTTATTGACAATAATCGTATTGTCAATACATTTTATATTGACGTCAATACATCGGTATTGACAATATTTCTGTATTCACATCATCAATATTACTGTCAATACTTGTAAGTATTGACAATATTTCTTACCGTGTGGGGTTCACTTATCAGTTGCTTCAAACCCTCAGCTTCAAACCATATTTCAAGAGCCACATGTGAAACGGACATACAAGCTTTTTGTAAATAAACCTTTGTATGTCATTTTCTCGCCAACCGAGGGCAATGCAAACCAACAACATCATCGGGAAGAGGAAAATTTCCCCTACCCGGTGATGTTGATGATTTGCGTTGGTGTCATAACTACTAGTAATGAGACAAGGGCATAAGAAGGTTTGTTTACAAAAAGCTTGTATGCCCCTTTTACATGTTGTTCTTGATTTCGTCAATTGAGTGCAGAGTTATTAACAAATGCAATTTGAGCAAAAAATTGAGCATGCCGACCGTCAAGGTGAGGTTTGGCTGATGTTTTGAGTTGAGTGGAAGATGAAACTCGCAACAACTGAGGATAGTTTTATAGGAGTTTTAACGAGAATCCAAGAGAATTCAATCATATTTAAAACGGTATTTTGAGACAAATTATAACGATATTTTACGGAGCAGAAATTATCAAAAATTTAGGGGGAATTCTGAGAATGAAAAAGAAAATGTTCTAATGATAATTACAAGAAAATCTTGACAAAAACTCCAAGGGAATACTGAAAAGAGTTCTTTTATTGAAAATTCTTTTATAAAAGCAAAGGGAATTTCAATATGATAATAATTTTGAATTTCAATATGATAATAATTTCGAACGAATTCTAAGACGAATTCCAGCTCGGAGTATAGTTTCTTGTGAATCTAGAGGAAGATTCCAAGATAGAAGTCTCTTCATCGTGATTCTCAATAAACTAAACTCAAAATAGGAGAGTATCAAAGAACTTTTGGAAACATTCCAAGGATACTTTTGAAAATAAACTAATTGAAATGATTTAAAATTTCCAAGAACCGAATTTAGACGAACTACTTAGGACAAGAAGAGTCTTTGGACAATTCAAAGATAATTCTGGAATAATGACTATGTACTATGAAATTAAAAAACACTTTTAGCACATTTTAAATGTTTGGTCTTTGGAATTCTTGAAAATGAGGTTTTGT